TTTTTTTTTTTAAATAAAAAAATTGTAAATACTCAGCAGCATTCAAAATGTCAACAAAAACAGCTGTAACTTTTTTTTTTTCAATTATGGAGTGGTATTCAGTTAACAGAACAATTGTTTTATATAACTGCATCAGAGACAATAAATGAAAAACTACAGTCCCCATATAACCAATTTGTGCTGTGCACCAACAAGAACCTACTTTAAATTTCCATGTGAATTTACAACCCTCATACTGCACCAGACAAGATTAGTGGCTAAAACTACTACCAGGACATGGCTAGTTAAAAACACATTTGGGTGTTCAATCTCCAGTTCTGCCCAAAAAACAAAAACAAAAACAAAAACAAACAAACAAACAAACAAACATTTGGTAGTGTTAACTATACAAAAAACTACAGTTTAAAAACAATCTTACGCAGCTTTATATTTCATTTTTTTTTTTCTTCAAAAGGAGTTGTTTACAGGGGGTTAAATGCTTTACAGACAAGAAAAAAACTGCACTAGACCCAAGTAATTCATTATCATCAAGCTCTTCATCTTCTCTTCCTTTTACTTTTTCAGCCTTGACTCCCTTTTTCGCTGCATCAAGTTTCCTTTAACTTGGTAGGCAAGTATGATGTCCTTTCCATATTTTTCCTTCAGCTGAGCAGCCTTCTCATATGGCTGTCATCTGCAGTATTATTCCACATTTTTCCCAGTTTCTTTGCTTATCACCAATGGAAAGGACAGGATACCCTCCTTTGAGTTTTGGGTGATAATCAGAACAGAATAAGAAGGCTGAAGGAGGCCTCTTGGACACACTGGGATCCTTGGACTTTTTTGTTTTTTCTTTAGGAAGAACGTTAAATTTTCATTTCTCTTTCACAATGAGCCCTGTTCGCCTTTGCCATGTCTTCAAATTTTCCTTTGTCTTTAACAGATGTGGTCTTCCACCTCTCTAAGGAATTCTCATAAAAGTCTGAGAAAGCTTCTTCTTGTGCTCCTCTCAACAAGTATGCACAAAGAATGCATACGATTACATTTTGCCTCTTGGCTTCTTAGGATCTCCTTTGCCCATATTTACTTGTTTTCCTCAGCAAGGCAGAGTATCCACAGTGCTTGTCTGGCTCTGACTTGCCCCAGTGTTATCTCTATGGAGCTAAATGTATTGCAATGGCTATTGCAGGGGATTTCTAATTGGTGGTCAACTTATTACGCCCAGACAAATTAAACTAGCATGGTGCTAGGTGCAGGAGGCCCACCTGAGGACTACTGCCCCCAGCTTATAGGCAGAACAGAAGCAGCTGTCAAAACGCTGTTGGGGATGCTGTGTGGAGAAGCTGTTGGAACTGTTAGTTCTCTTGGGCTATTGTGCTGGAGGACCTTGTCATGCTGGCTTTCCTGATAAACTTTGGAGTTCTGGTCCTCATTTTGAGCACTGCTTCCTGGCTCCAGAGGGGAAGATGGTGCACTGCTCAGCTTCATGGAGAAGCTTGTCACACTGGCTTTCCTGATGGAAACTCAGCTTTCCTCATCACTGGAGGAGCTTGGGACCTCACTGTTGCTGAGGATGGCTGTGGTACTTTTTGGGGAGCTTTGGTGCTTAACTTGAGCACTGCTTCCTACCTCCAGTCAGATCCTTTAGCCTGCCAGCATAGATCCCTCATCCTGCTGGCATGGACTTTCTAGCTTCCACCACTGGCCTTTGGGCCTTTCCCAGCACAGATTTGTGAAGCAGACTTACATGAGACTTTGCTGTGGGCTATGGGCCTCCAGTTGGACTTGTGGGAGACACTGTTATGAGCTCTAGGTTTTCAGCTGGGCTCAGCAGGATATTAGGATCTAGACCCTGCAGTCTAAATTTAGTGTTTGTATGGACAGATTTTCTTTCTTTTTTTTTTTTTTTTCGGTACCAGGGATTGAACTCAGGACCTTGCACTTGTCAGGTAAGCACTTATTCTACTGAGCTATTTCCCTGGCCCAAAAGTTTTTTGTTTTTTGTTTTTTTTTTTTTTTGTTTTTTTTTTCTGGAACCAGGGATTGAACTTGCCAGGCAAGTGCTTATTTTACTGAGCTATCTCCCCGGTCCCTGGGTAAACAGATTTTCTGCAATTCCTGTATGATTCTGGGGTGATTCATTATAAATTACTACTATAAAATGTGCCCTGTATTGTATTGTTTCTTTGCAAAAACCCTAAACCACAATAGCTGTCAAGATTACATCTACTTTTAAAAGAAGTTCATAAAGTAGACACAGCAAATAAATATGAAATCACATAGCCATACAAAAATATCCTATTATGGTTTAAATCTAGAATGTTTTCCAAAACTCTCATTTGCTCAGAAGCAGGCTTTTGAAATGTGACAGGATTGTTGGAGCATTATATTTATCAGTGGTTTCATCCACAGATGAGTTCAGCAGTGTGCTGTTCGGAGGCGAGTCCTGGTTATAGGTGGATCACTGAGGTTGTGACCTAGAAATCTTTACCTCCCTCCCTCTCTTCTGATCACAACATAAGCAGTTTTCCTTCACTATACCCCTCTGATATGCTCTTTTTGTCTTGAATCTTTCAAGTCATGGATAGAATCCACAGAAAATGTGACACAAAATAAACCTTTTTTAAGTTGGTGTTATTTTGTTCCACCAACAAGAAAGTAACTAAGATTTTTTTTTTTTTTTTTGCGGAACCGGGGATTGAACTCAGGCCCTTGCGCTTGCCAGGGAAGCGCTTATTCCACTGAGCCATCTCCTCAGCCCCTTAAGACATATTTTTTCTTTTCTTTTCTTTTTTCAAAATTTTATTGATGAACAGATAGCAATGAGACAGTTTCAAACCAAATCGAAGACATATTTTTTCAAAAATATGGTATTTTACTCTATGCCAAAACTGGCAAAATGGGGCTGGGGAGATAGCTCAGTAGAATAAGCACCTGCCTGGCAAATGCAGGGTCCTGAGTTCAATCCCTGGTACCGAAGGAAAAAACAAAAACACAAACTGGCAAAACAAAAAAATTATTGTAATCTTCTGAACCAAATGTAAGCAGGTATGGTTTATACTTCTGTTTTCTGAGACATGGTCACACTATGTTGTCCCCATGAGATTCAAATTCCTATATTCAAGCGATCCTTACACCTAAACCTCCAGAGTAGCAAGGAGGGAGTTCAGATGTGTACCACAGAACCTGGGTGACTTGCTTTTTTGCTTTTTTTTTGAGACATGATCTTGCTGTGTAGTTTAGACCAGTTTCAGACTTAATACTATGTAAGCTCATTTTGGCTTCAAACTCATGGTCCTCCTGCCTTACCCTGTTGAATGCTGCTATTTTTAGGCATGTGCCATCATCTGAGTTGGCTAATTTTTAAAGTAAGAAATACATGTTTTCCTTTTTTCCTCACAGCTCAATTTTTTATTTCTAGGGAGAAAATTAGCTATTATAAATGACATTTTTATGCATGCCTAGGAATTGAACACAGGACCTTGCACTGGCCAGAGAAGCGATTTGCCACTAAGTTATATCCTCAGCCTATAAATGAAATGATGTATATTTTCATGAAATTAGACCCTACCCACTAGAAGTCACTTAAGTGTATTTAACTGTAATCCCTGTTTTCACGTAAGCCAATATAAATTAAGTGGCCATAACTAACAAATGTAACTTTTATCCTAATGTATTCATGAGTTAAGAACCACTGAATAGGGCCAGCCAGACAGCTCAATGGATTAAAACCTCCAGCTTAGGCAGACACAGGTACAGGGGTTTGATCCTCAGTGTGCCATGCTGGCCCCACCCCCAAGGGCATCCTGAGACAGCGACTGAGGTGCCTGTAATCCCTCTCAGTTTTGGGAGGCTGAAAACAGGAGGATCACTACAAGTCTGATCTGTGTGGTGAGATCCTGTAGATCCCGTACCAAATACATAAAAAAAGAAACACTGAATATAGGATTTTATTGGTTTTTGTGGTTAAGAGAAGAACATTTACTGAAGAAAAGAAATGGGAAATAGAAACAGCTCCAGAGACAGGAGGGGTTCCAAATGGGTTGCCCTGTTTGTTTCTTTTCTCTCTCCCTCCTTCTCTCTCCCTCCCTTTCTCTCCCTCCTTCCCTCCTTCCCCCTCTCTCTCTTTCTTTTTATACGAGGGACTGAACTCAGGACCTTGCACTTACAAGGCATGCACGTATGCTGCTGAGCTATAACCCAGCCCCGTTTGTTTTTGAGACAGGGACTCAGTATGCATTAAGGCAGGCCCTGAATTCTCAGCAATTCTCCTACTTCAGTCTCTTAAGTGCTAGGGTTATAGACATGTGCCCACCATGCATGGCAAAAACCACTGAATATAATTAACAAACAGCATGAAATTTTTATAAAATAAGTACCTCCTTAAGCTGCTCTTTTCGAAGTTTATATTCTCTTTTTTGGGACTCCAGAAAGCTATTCAGTTCTTTCTTCTGTTGGGCCTGAATATGTTGCTGAAATTTTTTCTCCTCATTGGCCATCACTTTAGCCTAATTTTAAAAATAAATTAAATTAGGTAGATATATTCAAAACAGAGGTTAGATATACATAACAAGGATACTTTATTTTTTTGGAACACATCAGTAGAAGTATCAAAACAAAAAACCTAACCTAATCAATAACATTATGTTTCAGCATCTTTATCATTTAAATTTTAGAGTACCAGTAAAATTGAATCATCTTTAAATATGATCTCTTACTGAGCCAAAATATTTTTACCTTTTTTTTTTGGTGGAACCAGGGATTGAACTCAGGCCCTCGCGCTTGCCAGGGAAGCGCTTATTCCACAGAGCCACCTCCCCAGCCCGACCTTTTTTTCATTTAACAGGAATATATATCCTTTCAAAACAAAACAAATACATATTTATCTTCAAGTAAAATTAGATTATGACCTTTTTTTACCTAGATTATCTTAAATGTTAAAAAAATAGATCACATTTACCTCCTAATTAATCCCTGATCTTTAATTTATATAGTAAATATGAAATATTAAATGTATACTCTTAAAAATTTATACACACACACCCACACCCACACAAACATATCTTTTTTTTTTTTTTTTTCTTCAGTACCGGGGATTGAACTCAGGACCCTGCACTTCCCAGGCAAGCACTTATTCTACTGAGCTATCTCCCCAGCCCTAATATCATATTCATTTTAGAACATTTAGGAAATACTGGGAGTGGGGAAGGTAATCTCATATGATGTTAGTAACCAGACATATTAACCAAAGTTTTACTGCATGCACATCTTATTTATTTCCAAGATATATTTACATATTTCTAACAGCAGTCTTTCTTTCTTTTGATGTCAGGTTTTGAACTCAGGTCCTTGCACTTGCCAGGCAGCCACTTATGTCACTGAACTACCTCCCCAGCTCTCCAGGACATATATATGTTTTCAACAAATTCTATTTTTTATTTATTTATTTTTTAAGTGTAATTTTCTTTTGGTGGAACTGGGAATTAAACTCAGGCCCTTGCACTTGCCAGGCAAACGCTTATTCTACTGCGTTGTCTCGCTGGCCCTCAAGAAATTTTAATCATATTTCATATCCTGTTTCATGAATAGCTTTCTCAACACAGTTTAGTACCTATCTCTTCTCAACCTATTAAAAACACCACTCAATGCCTAAAAGATTCTAAATATCTATACATTCTATCAAATTATTTAAAATCAAGTTATTTATAACCTCTTTGCTGAATTCTCTGTAACCATGAGAGGTTTTTTCCCCTTTATTCTGAGTAGAGAAAAAACAAAGTAGCTGTGATAAATTTCAATACAACTAGCTGAATATATTCTGATGTACTGTGTGCATTCTATTTTGAGAATATGACTAGCAAAATAAGGTGAAACTCATGGGAATACCAAAAACATTATAGGAAAAGGTTTCATCTAATAACAGTTCAAAAAAATAAATCCCCTAAGGTAGATACTTATTTACAAATAATTAAATGGGCTAACTCTGTATCTCTTAATTTCTAATTTAACATTCTCTGTATATATTAATTGTAAAGTACTTTAACATTAGAATGATGTATAAATTTAAGGGAAGGATACTAAAAAGTACACAGAGAATTATGAATGATTCTTTAAGACCTAATCACCTAATTACAGATTTATTAAAGTTCAAAAAAACTAGAGTACCAAAAGCGTAGAATAGCTGAATCACTTACTTGCTATGATACTATAAATCTATCAATTATCAGGAAGTAATCCAAAGTCTATTAGTTTCCATAGTACTGGAATTCAAACATAGCAATTTTTCATAATCAAAATCCACACAAAAAATTAGTGAGAAAAAAACACACAGAAATAATCCTTCTTTGGGGTGGGTGTGTGTGTGACTCATCTATCAGCAATTTATAGAAAGCCTTATACAAGTTACATAAATTCATTTCCCTTTCCTCAGTCAATTTACTTGGTGCCTGGGATACTCTAACATCAAAAAACGCTACACTGATTAACTGTGAGGTAGAACCTAGCCAAATGAGGCAAATTAATAAAACTAAATCAGCTACCTCTTTTTCCATAGCAGCTTGATGTTTCTTAATAAGTTTCTCCATTTCTGCAGCAAAATTGTTACGCTGTGTTTCAAGATCTTTGTCTAATCTGAGGCGGTGTTCATCCATTTCAGCCTTTAATTTATTTTCCAGAGTCATCAGTTGCTTTTGATGTTGTCGCCTCATTCGCTTGTAGCCAGACATCTGCTCTCTAAGCTCAGAGTCCTGTTCATGTTCTTGCATTTGCCTTGTAACCTAGACATACAATGAACAAACAATAGACAATAAAGGAAATAATGAGGGGAGGGGAATAAATCAAAATATTTTTCTTTTAAAAAGCATTTTAGATCACTACGTTTTTATCACATAATTAATTTAATAGATCATGATATCAGCAGTTTCCAATTAAAATTTCCAGGATGTTTTTCAAAGAAATAGACAAGCTGTTAAAATTTATACGGAGTAGGCCAAGAACAAGAGCAACAGCAAAAAAATAAACAAACAAAAAAAAAAACCAAGAGCAACAGCATGGGCACAGCAGCATAAGCCTGGAAATTAATGGCCAGCCTAAACAACATACAAGACTACATCTCAAAAAATAAAACCGTTGGGCCGGGGAGATGGCTCAGTAAAATAAGCGCTTCTCTGGCAAGTGCAAGGGCCTGAGTTCAATCCCCGGTTCTGCCAAAAATCAATCAATCAATCAATCAATCAATCAATCCAAGAAAGCACTTTAAAAATAAAACTGCAGAAACACATCTACTCAGAGGGCCAGAGAGATGGCTCAGTGGAATAAGTGCTTCCCTGGCAAGCGCAAGGGTCTGAGTTCAATCCCTGGTTCCACAAAAAAAAAAACAAAAAAAAAAAAAAAAGAAAAAGAAAAAGAAACAACAGAAATACTCATATGGTGTGTGGAGCCATGCAAAGAAACACATCTACTCATGTTAATTGATTTTCAATTAACAATTCCTGTCTGCCCTGCCATGAACTCTTTCCTCTGCTATGACCCTCCACCCATGCCACCCTGCCTTGGAGCCAGCCAAGTGAAACCTCTACAAACTGTGAACTGAAATAATATTTGCTCTTTTAACTTTGGGAATTGGGAATTCTCTCTCAGCAATGAGAAACATGTCTAAGATATTCTCTGAATATTTTACTTGTAACCAACAGACTGGGTTTAACAATACAAATCAACTCCATGCTTTCGATTTATTAAGCCTGTAACATTGAAACCTGTTAATTAATTAAGCCTGTCCTTAATTAGAGAAAATCAAAATATGGGTAAAAGACTTCCTTAAGAACATTTAAGGGGCTGGGGAGATAGCTCAGTTGAATAAGCGCTTGCCTGGCAAGCACAAGAGCTTGAGTTCAATCACCGACTCCGCAAAAAAACAAAAAAGGAACATTTAATACTCTTATGTATTTGGCAACTCAAATAACTCCCATATCTTTTCCTAAAAAAAACAAAAAAAAACCCCAAAAAACCCTGTAATATATTCTAATAACTTATTTTTCACATGATATCCTAATATAATTTCTTTCTATCTTTAGCATCTTTTTATCATGTCTTGGTTCCACTTGTCTGATTGAACAATTACCAATACTTATTACAGCATGTTTGTAGTGGACAAATAATCTTTATTTGTTATTTGGAAAATGACAATAATATTTAGAACATACCAAACAGGATTACTTACCATTTCCAAGATGGCCTTCTTTCTGGTTATCTTCACAAAATATATTTCCTTACTGTCTATCTTTTTAATGTGGAAATAGCATCACTACTCTCCCTCTGTGCCTAATAACCCTAAATGCTCAAACTGTTTCTTTGAAAATTACATTTTATGGGGCTGGTGAGATGGCTCAGTGGTCTAAAGCACCTACTTAGAACAAGCTAAGCTAAGCAAAAGCACAGGGACTGCAGTTCAAACCCCAGCACCACATGCCAGCCAGCCCCGCCCCCTGGTGGGCTGAACTGGCCACACACACACTAAATAAATAAATAAATTTTAAATAAATATCCACCTTTGCTATGAGAATAGAAATATTAAAAAAAAGAAAGAAAATTATGTTTTATATCCCAATAAAAAGTATCTTGTAGCTCTTTATTTTTTTATAATATTTTTTTAATTTATGTG